GGCTTGACAGCTGTTGTGAGGCACTGTGGCACTGTGGCTGCATCTACACTGCGGAATAATGCAGTTTGACACCGCTTTAAACTGCAACAGCCCAATGCTATGAAATCCTGGGATTTGTAGTTTTGTGAGATATTTAACCTTCTTTCTCAGAGAGCTCTGGTGCCACAGCAAGCTACACATCCCAGGATTCCCTAGCATGGAGTCATGACAGTTAAAGCAGTCTCAAACTGCATTATTTCTGCAGTGCAGATGCATCCTCTGACATAAAAAAAAGCTGCTTTTAAAAAGGAACTTGTCCAGTGGTCCCCAAAACAACTGGATTACAAGAGTAAAGAAACTTCTGAAAGGTCCTCCAAGAGGCGAAGTGATGGCTCAGCAACCTTGGCTGCTTCTGATAGTAATCAAAGAGAACCCAGAATTTGTGCTTACTCTTTGCCTGCGCAAACTTTCCTAAAATCAATACAAGGTTATGACCTCCTTGAACCAGCCACCTTCCCACCCAACAGTTTTCTTTCGTTGTGAAGGGCTGTCGCTGGTCAACAGACGAGTTCAAGGGCTTTGCAAAAAACAAATAGCAGTGTGTGCTTGGCCATTTTGGATTGAGCAATTGCTTTCTCTCCCCACCAGTGGTTTTTAAAATTTTTAAATGCATAGTAAATTACGCAGGAGATACTTAGGAGGTATTAATGTAATTACAAAATTGTGGTTTCATTGTGATTTGGAGATTAACGTTGCAGAATCAAATCTTATAAAAAATAAAGTTAATTTTTTAAAATGCATATGAACCCTGCATATGAAACACAAAATCATTGCTCCAAAATAAGGCAATTCTGCTTGTTGTCGATTCCTATTATGCGCCAGATTTGTCAGTTTATTCTCCTGATCAAACTACATACCTGAATAACCTAGGATTTTAGGTTCTCTTCTGTTCCCTTCTCCGTGGCTCCTGTTTTGAATTCTTTGATTTTCGTTGGAGAACTGTGGTGCCAGATCTAGTTATCCTAAGAACCAAGGAAATACTTCTGAACTGGTTCCACTGGTCCATGGTTCCAGTCCATTTAAAGCACATCTTGAACAGATCTTGCCAACTTTGGTTGGCAACATAACCAGGACAACCAACCTACCACTTTCTCCTGCAAGGTGCCCAGTATCACAATGAGCGAATAAGTCATTTTAAAACCCCTAACAGTTGCTTCTGAGTAAGAGGCAACCTGCAAGAGTTAATTCCCAAACTTGGGCTGAAATCAGCCATACGCTGTTTATAATGTTCCTTGAGCAAAAGGTTACCCACCAACCATCCTGGTTTGGCAGGGAGTTTCAATCAATCCTCTGTCGCCTCACTTTTTCATCGGCCTTTAAAATGTCCCAGTTTCTCTCTCCTCCTCCCACCTTTCCCTTTTGACCTCAGCTTAATTCAATTGCTGCAAACTGACTTCGAAGTGAAAAAGGAGTTTGCTCTGCAGAATCTTCCCCTTCCCTGGAGGCTGAGGCAAAAGCAAACTGCTGCAGCTTCTCCTAGCTTGGGTCTTCTTCTTCATTAATAATGTTTGCCTTTGTGACTACCCCTTGAGTATGCTTGGCCACATGTGCCTCCAATTTCTTCTGTGATAAATACTGGAGGGTAAATTTCCCTGGCATTATTTGATATACATTTACTTGTTTTGTCACTTGGGTTTACAGTGGATGTTGTTATTAATTGTTGTAATTGTCTTTGATTTAATTGACTTTTATTATTTTGCCCATTGTTTTACTTAGATTGTACGCCTCTGGCAGGTTTTATTCTGTTTTATCCTTGATTGCCTTTTGTACAGCGCTGTGTACACCAATAGCGCTCTAGAAATAAACTTTAAGAATAAATAATAATAATAATAATAAT